CTGCCTCACGGACTGAAACTGGTAGTTGGACAGTTCAGCTTTCAACACCATCATCCCACAACATCTGAAGGGCAAACTAGAACAGCTGGAATTCTATACACCCCTCCGAAATTGGCTGCTAGACTTCCTCACCAACAGATCTCAGTCAGTCCGGGTTGGACAGATAAATATTATAGAAATAATTATGTTTGATAATTTCACAGTAAACTCGAATAGATCCCAGCAGTGAGGCGCCACATTTCCTGAATATCAACCCTGCAGAATTTGCATGCATATTCAGTCTATGGTTGTTTTTTTTTCCAGAATAGCAGGACAGACTGTTTCCGTTTATCATCCGTAATTGCTTTCCTGACTGCTAAAAATGTTGCGTCCTTTTCATGGACGAACTGCTGCACTTCATTGATCGAATTTACTTTAGCTGCTTGTGAGGGTGATAGATGTTGCGCAGTAATAGACAGATTCTTCCTCTGATTTTTTTTCCAATCTATTAAGAATTCATCAGCTCACAATCAAAATCATTATAAGGTTGCTGTTTTTTAAAAGAAACTTATAGATTTATTGTTTCCAATTTTTAGTTAAGATAATTTGAGGAATGGAGTTTAGCTGAGAAGCACCAAACAAGAGAAAAGTTCTCCCTTAGGCTTTCTGGGATGGTATTTCTGTTCCAGTCACATGATGGTTGTGAAGAAACAGATCAGAAATGCAAAATCAGGACCAAAGATGAACAGCTTTGCGTGAAATGTTCCATCCCAAATTCTGCTCCTGAAATCTGTTAAATGTAGCCTTTTATTAAACCCAGCACACGGTCTCAACTACTGATTTTAAACTCTGTTGTAATTCTGGCTGCTTATTTATGGTGGTGGTCCTGCTGGGACGTGAACTTTAGCCTCAGTCTTCAGCCTTTTGCTGCCTCTTACAGGTTTTCTTACAAGTTTAGCTCCATTTATCTTCCCATTTACTCCGACCAGCTTCCCCATCCCTGCTTAAAGGAATAGTACACCCAAAACATGATTAGCCTTCATTTTCTACTCACCCCCGTGCTGAACAACACTCTGG